TATATACATAGTGAGATATTTAAGGCGTCCTATATACAATAAATTGATCTTATATATTGAGGTAAAATAGTTGCTGTGCAAATACAGTATGTTGGTTTTACTTGTTATATTCTATTCTGGTGCAAACAAAGTATTGTGACAAAGTGTAAACAGTGCAAGGTGACCCTTGGTAACTAAATAAATACAGGCCTTTTGCACAAGGTTTTTTCACATTACTATTGTAGAGTCTGAAGGCAGCAGGGCTGAACGACTGAAAGAGTTGTTCAGCTCCTCTGTGATGCACAGGGTGAAAGGTGTTGTCCATGATAGATTTGAACTGGCAAAGTTCAAATCTATCATCCAGTTGAAAACGTGTGATCTCTGAATTAACCTCCTTTCTAGTTTCAAAACATTCTGTATTTAAAGGTCAAGATTCTCAGTCAATGAGGACGAACTCCAAAAAAAAGGTTAGAATACAAAACAACTACAGTACACTTCACTTTTTGTGGTTTAAAATGTTATGCCCTTCATTTGAACTGCTTTCTAAATTCAGAGCAAGCTAGGAAGATCAAAGCATTTAAGATGTTTCAGAAAGTGCTGCTCTGCATATTTAAATTTGCTTGCAGATGGGAGTGTTATTGTACTGTTGCAGGCCTGGCTCACTAAAGGATATTAAGTCATTTGCTTTAGGATATGAATTGGTTTGGAATAGTCTGGGAACCAGGCGTAATAGTGAATTGCATATTTTTGAAAGCTGAAATCTGAAGTTTTCTCCTCTGTTGGGAGTTGCATTGTTTACTTTTTTTATTTTCATAAATGACTCCCTTCCCTCCTCTAAATGATGAAGGTGACAGGAAAAAATAAACTTACCTCTACAAAACCATTCAATTGTTCACCGAGTGAAACCTGAGAGGAAGAAACATTCTTAATTATATATTCATAAGTTAATATTCATATTTACCTTACAAAAATGGTAAAACTTGATAAACTGCATTCTTCGTTTTTTTATAACAACTTGTATTTGCAGTTTAACACCGTTTATTGGCAATTAAGTTCATTATTGGATCTATAACTACTTAAGAAATCCAAGACTCACTCAATAGCTTATTGACAACACCATCTAGAGGCTCAATATAGTTATGATACTAATAAGACATGTTCAGCCGCTTTCATTTTTTGTGTATCTATTAAACTGATAATTTCCCCCCCTCCGAAAAAATAAATATAATTAAAAATAAATATAATTAAAGATAGTTTTATAGTTAAAGACACATTTACCTGATGACAGAAACAAACCAGAAAAAAGAAAAAGACCTGTCACCTGCTTTGGGTAGTGTCATGATTTATTTATTAGTAGACTCCTTATGGCAATAAAATTGGTGTTTTTTTTTTAAAAGTTTTATTTTGACAGAATTAAAACACAGTTATAATTTGTCAAAAAGCAGGATTAATCTTTATTTTTGTATAAGGAAAAACAACTTTTTATGATTACATTAAGACAAAGAAAAAAGAAACAGAGGAAACTGCTATTGTGCTTTTACTTCATTTTTAAAACTTCTTGGCCTGATAAGTCAAGCTGTAAAATACAATTATTCAGAGTTACCCAAATCAACAGATCACACAACCTACCAATCATAATACTTATACCTCTATGCTTTATCATATATAAAACAGTCAACATAGTCCAGGTGTATATATATATATATAAAAAAAAAATCTGTAATTACATAAAAATAGCCTTTTCTATATTGGACAGACTGTCATAATACAATAAACAGTCAAAGCTTCATGCAACTACATTCATTTTCCACCAGAGGGCAGCAGTTTTGTTTTCGGTACAAAAATGTTATAAGTTAAAAAAATCCTACATTTAACCTCTAAATAAGTTGTAATGATCATCACAGTGGATAAATTCCAACTCAAGCACCATAGAACATCATAATCATGTAAACATACCATGGTTACAGCTCTTCAGAAGTAGCCGCTTCTCACCTTCAACTGAACAAAGTAATGCAAGTAGTGCAAAACTCGAAACTGCAGATGAAGTTTTGCACTATCTAGAGTCAAGGTCCATAATTGATATAGAAGTGGTAAATGGTTCACCAGCATAGGCTTGTGTAAGAGACAAAACAGGATAACATGACTCCCAGTTTTGATAACTGCATTCCCTTTACCCTCAAATCGACTCTAAGAGCAGAAGTTACACAGCAGCACTGTTGTTTGCGTTTGCTCTTTAAGACAAATGCAGTATTATTCTAAATGCAAAGTTCTTACAAACAATGTATTGTTCCAAGTAGGAGACGACCGATATCACAGGATTTGAGATGTAAAGGATGTTGATAAAATTCTACATGCACACCACTGACAGACGTGTAAAGATGACACGCTTGTAGTTGAATAACATTTATTCTTCTGAAAAATAAAACACAAAACATGGTATTTTAAAGGGTGCTTCTCAAATCACATTATGTCAGAAACTACAGCACAGAGATTTTAGGTTTGGGACTATATTGAAGGAAAAATCGATCTGCTATCCATGTTGGCATGTAGGACATGGGCAGCCAGAGGAATTTGGCGTCCCATCCTGGGGAGTAGCGGGAGCGAGGATAGACGGCAGCGATGGCGTGCTCCATGCAGTGGACCACCTTCATCAGGTCCCCGTCTCTGAACTGCTGGAACCTTTGATCCAACTCTTGGAGAGCTAAAAGAAAAAATGACATCGACACCTTATGTTTTAACAGAGATTATAAAAAGCTTCTGCAGTCAGTGATACAGAAATTATTTAACCTCTATGGAAGGAAAAATCTTTGACAAATAGAAAAACTTAGATAGCAATATAATGCTCTACTACGTCAGGACAAAGTCAGGGAGGTCTATAGCTGATTTCATCACAGACATTTCTAAATTTTAAACTTTAGAGATTTGATTTTATAGTAAAAATGCTTTCCTATAAGCAAAGATAAATATATATTGTTTTCTACCCGAACTACTGAAGGTTTTAAAAAACAAAAAAACAAAAACAAAACTGTTTCGCACTCAATTACCTGCCAGTTGATTGAAAGAAAGAAAAAAACCCTCTGTTTTTTGCCATTTATTTCTTCTGAATGTTACGGAGGGATTTAAATTTATTTACATTTTCTATTTTTGAACTGTTGTGAAGCCTCTTGTGAAGCTTTATTGTGGAACATGGTTATAAACTTAAGTAAAGATCTAAAAAAAAAAAACTTATAACAAAATATACGATTTTGTAAAACTGAATGAGTTTTTAACCAGACTGACCTAAACTGATCATGCATTACAATCAGAGTGACAACACTGCAAAGCATATGGCATCAGATAAAAAAACAATAATTTAAGGATAAAGGTGCGCTTTTGTAATTTATTACCCTTAGATGCATGACTTGGTTGTCTGCTTTGTGCGTTTCAAGATTTTTCAAAAAGCATTCATTATAAAGTTGTTTTAAATAATTTAATTAAATCTGTTGTACATATAGGTTACCATTCCTTAAAGGTAATAGTCAAGCTAATCTGTCCAATTTCAAGTAATACAATATCTCCAAGTATTATATTCTTATCTGATACAGCCTCTCCCTATTTAAGTATATATAACTAAGAATATTTCAGAGAAATCAACAGGCTTGATTTTTGGTCACTCTTCTTAGGAAAATTGGTAAAGCTAATTTAAATTCCTTAGTTTCCTGTTACTAAGACAACTTCTAAGACAACTGTAGATTTTCCAGCAGGAAGTCAAGGCTTTGAAGATGACAAAACAGGAGCCTAATATTGGTCAGCCTGAAAGATTTGCTGACTGACTTAATTAAAATGAAAACAAAAAAGCCCAAATTGGCTTGAATCTCACCGAACATTTGCAATTGGTTAAGCCAAATCATTCAGGAGGAAAGGTCTCTGGTCAAAGAAGATAAAGACAAGGTTTCTGGTCTTAATGGCAGGAGGTGTGTTTAATAGAGTTGAGGAAAGGCTTTTCAATCCAAGATGGCGATGGTGATGGCAGCATCATGGTACTGGGCAGGTGTGCTACCAGAAAACCTGCCAAGCAGTACTGATGGATTTATAGTGGAGGAAATAATGGAGGAGGAAGAGAAGAACTCCAAATTCTTCACTTTATTTCCTCCACAACTATTTTAAGATCATTGGATACACATTCAACATGGAAATGATCTCAAACATCAAAACTGGCTCATGAATAAAGTATCGACTCAGGGCTATCTTCTTAAAGGACATTTTAACCAAACGCTGGTGGCAGCACAGATATATATTTGGCCCTATCTATTAGGGGTGTAAATAATAATCGTTTTGTATCGATGCATCGATCCAACAGCCGACGATCCGATGCATCGATACGTCCGCAAGATAATCGATTCATGTTTTTTTTCCCTCCGGTCTATTTTTATCCATTTGCTTGCTCCTGGACGTAATTTTCCCTCCCGTGCTGCGGTGGTGCTAAACCTATTTTGCCCTCCTACCGCGCTTCCTGGTTATACTCTTACAGCAATGTGTTGCAGTAAGCTTGACACAGACATTTTTGATTTATGCTCAATATTGAAGCGTGGTCTGTGCTACACGCTGTGGGTCTAGATACGGCAGAGGCGGTGAGGAAGTGGGGGCGAGTTTAGTCTGACAACGGAGGGAAATGAGGGCCAAAAAGAGCGGAGATACAGGTGGAAAAAGGGTCCCTGCGTTCTTGCGCACCTTGCTCTTCTAGCAGGAAAAACTTCACAAGTTTTCTGCAATTTCGGTCATAAAAACAAAACAAGCCGACCTCCTGTCTGCGGTACTGTCTGCGGTCAGTTACAATTTGGGAGAGGTGCAGCGGAGTGTCTGTGGAGGGGGCGGGACGTCTGGAGCCGAGGTATTGCATTGCACTCATTGCACTGATTTTGTGCAGTATTTTTTTAATGCAACTTTTATACTTCTGTTATTTGCTGTTGTTTCTAAAAAAAAAAAAAATGCATAACGATATTACATCTTTCATTGATTTATTTCAAATTTAAAACATTGTCTAGCCTGTAAGGTGTAAAAAAAAAGCACCAATTAATTGAATCGTATCGTGGTGTATTCTTGAGTATCGAAAATAATCGAATCGTTGGGTCAGGAAATCGATACTGAATCCAATCGCCATGATGGATGTGATTTACACCCCTACTATCTATTCGCATACTGCTGCGATGGACTGGCGACCTGTCCAGGTTGTACCCCGCCTCTCGCCTGTAGACAGCTTGGGATTAAGAGTGTCACAAAATGGATGAATGGATGTTCACATACTGTGTCAAACAATAAGCATTAATAAAGAAGAAGTAAAAACTCACTGGTCTCCAAGAAAGCTTGCCCATAGTCATCCTTCATATCCTGAGATAATCTATCCCAGAGTTTCCTCAGGTGGTTCTGCAGCATCACTGTGTCAGTCACGCTAGTTTTGAAGAAGCCTGGCTCAATGCACAGAACTTTGACTCCAAACGGCGCCATGTTTAACCTAAAACACATAAAAAACCTTTAAAGAGGATGCTCAGCAAACTATCAGTGGATAACAATAAAGAAAGGAAAATATTCTTACCTCAGGCTGTCATTAAAGGACTCCACTCCATATTTGGAGACACAGTAAGGACCCCCGAACGGGCTGATTCGGCCAAACACACTGGCTACGTTTACCACTCTGCCCCTGGCCTTCTTGATGAGAGGGAGAACGCTCAGAGTGACGTCAATCACTCCCATAAGATTGACGGCCAGCATGGATTTGTAATCATCGATAGTCAGCCAGTCAGTCGGACCAGATGGTGTGGCAACTCCAGCATTGTTTACAACAGCCCAAAGACCTGAAACCAGATAAGCAGCTCATGAAACCTGGGATGGGACTAATAAACCCCCCCATCAGGGAACACCAACATCCCCAGACCAGCTTTGCCTCAATCTAACAACATCATCCCAACTGATTAGTTATTGCTTAGTGAAATAACTGAGAACAAAACAAAAACAACTCACCCTTCTCTCCAACATGAGTCTTGATGAAATCTGCCACTTTTTTGACACTGTCCGACTTTGTGACGTCCAGGGAAACCGTCGTCAGTCTTTCGGAGGAAACCTTCTTCAGCGCGATCTCCCCATTCTCCGTGTAGCAGCCTGCGATCACGCGGAAGCCAAGCTTGTCCAGATATTTGGCCAGGGTGTTCCCGAACCCGGAGTCACAGCCGGTGATGTACACATACTTATTCCCCTTGTCGGAAACTCTTTCGCTTTCTTTGTACCAACGGTAGAGGTACCAAACGGCCACCAGCCCGAGGATGGACAAGAACAGCATCTTTATATCTGTGCAAAGGAAATAAAGTTTTAAATTCACTGTCCTGAATCTAAGCATAATAACGGATAGTTATTGGAAGAAAAAAACATTGCGAAGCACAATCAATTTACGAATATGGAGGAAATTGAAAGTAGCCCAAGTTATCATTTAAGAGCCACCACATACAGATGTGCTACAACTGCTAACCAAAAGCATGTAATCCACACTAACCTGAGGAAGGACTATACTCCTGTCTTTTACCAAGCATTAAATAATCGCTCTGAGAAACTGAAGTTTGTGTTTTCATGAGCTCTGAACAATCACATTTAATGTTTAAATGATTCAAATTCATCACCATCTTTCATAAATCAACATGATTTTCAACTAATAATTCATTCACTGAAATAATTAAGTTGTTTCAATTTACTAAGATTCACATGACAAAGACAAAAAAGGAGACCTGATGTGCAAAATATGATTCTCGCTTAAATGTAAAAAAAAAAAAAATCCTACACCTGAGAAATCTAAAGCATGTTTGTTTAATGTGTTCCTCCCACGACCTGTCAGAACAGAGAAACCATCTTGCTCTAGGGTAGATTTGTGCAACCACTCTGAAAATGTTTTGCAATAAAAATAACAGACAAATAAGACGTAACCTCGAAACCAAATTATTTTGCTGGTTCTGTTTCAGTACTATAATACAACCCAGCCCGAAACGGTCAGGATGAAGTATGAAGAAGGTTTATAAAGGTTTGCTGCGACTTCAAAGGAAATCAAGGACATTAACCAAATATTACTAACTACGCTTTGAGAAGTCTGTCAGGGTCTGAACTTAAATAAAGGTGGACTTTCTTAAACTCTGACTTTTAGCCTGACTAACACAAATCTGAGCATTAATAGACAGAGCCACCAGCGTCTCCTTGTTCTGCTTAGGACTCGATTCGAATTATTTAAAACTTAAGATTTAAAACTAATTCCTTTCAAGCCAATGTGATCAGGTCACATAGCAACCTGAATTGCTGCTATTAAAAACATTTTTTAGCTGTTAACTAAATAACATGACTGTGTAGTTCTGCAATATATGGACGCTAGTTTTATATCAACATTCAAAAGCAAATTAATAAATCAAAGGTGCTTAATGGCGCCTGTAAGGACAGTGGAAAATGCATTTTCTTTGGTTATATGAATCGATCTTTAGGAATTAAGAGATTCGATACTGAATTGGAAAATCGATTTATTTATTTTTTACCAAACACAGCTCTTGTTTCGTCTATGTATGTGTAATTGTGAAAGGTGAGCTATGCGTGTGATCAATGAGACACAAACGGCACTCAAGCTTTATTTTGAAAGGTAAAAGGTGTAAAATACTTGCTCCAGTTTCGAGCAGCTTCAGTGTGTTTAAAAGGAAAAAAAAACAAAAAAACATATGGGTTCAAACAGCCCTGCAGGGGAGAGCTGTCCAACAACAATGTCTGAAATCTCATGTCATGTATGGGAAAACAGATTTGAAAGAAGAATTATGGGTATAAAAAAAAAAAAAAAAAGATTGCATTGTTGTTGAGAGAAGTTGCAACACCGGCAGAGACGTAACCCTGTCAAAATGTTTAGAACAAGCTGGTGCTAGTATCAAAGTCAGTGTGAGGAACTATGTCTGGTTTGATAAAAAAAGGTGGATTTGTTTAGTGTTTGCATTACTAAAATCCTCACAAGGTTCATGTTGACTTTAAAATATTACATTTAATAAAAGGTGGGAATTTTTTAGGGGAAACAAGAGAGGACATTTAATATCTAGACAGAAAATTCTGGTGGTGAATTATTCGTTTTTGTTTTCCATCATTACCTAAATCTGTATCAGAAAGAAACCTGCAGACCTTATGATCATCCAGTAAATAATCAATGAAGGTACTTTCCATCTTTAAAAACTATGATGTTTCATTATATTGCATTAGTAACTGGAATTTGATATTTTGGCAGCTCTAAATTGTACAGTGATTCAAAACATGATAGGATGGATCCTTAAGTTACAGAGTTCACTGCTAATAAATGTTTTTTTTACTCTCCTTTAACAGCTGGTGATCTTAGCTGAAGTAAATATTTTCAACTTTTTACAGTTAGAGCTACAGGTTGAATGATTATCAAATTATGACATTATTTATATTCAAATATCACAACTTTTAAACGAAAGTTTACAATTTAAGGCAGAATTAATCAATGTCTGATGCTGCGGCATCATCTCAGAGGTTTTTATTATTATTACTTTGAAGCTAAAACTTCCACACATGTTCATTTTCACTTTTTTAAAAGGAGAAAGTCAAGTCAACTAATTTAATTTGGAAAATAGGATTTTTCTAATTCAGCTACATTGAACACAAATATACCCCAAGCTTACAGTAACAGAGAGAAAGCCTAAAAAAAAAAATATCAGCGACATTATTCCAGACATGATCAGCATCCTGAAAATTTCCACAGGAAGTCTTTGTTTTGTTTTTTTTTGCAAAGTTTCTTACGCCACCTGGATAGCTTCCCCTAACGACCAATGAGGCAAGATAATAACTAGCCATAAACAAATAATTGGATTACCCAATTAATAAAATAATCATCAGTTACTTTTGTAATAGAATAATTGTTAAATGTAGTTTAGACACTAAAACATCCCATTTGCTGGAAGAACGACCCAGTTTAAAATGTTACTTACAACTAATATATAGATTTTGCATTTAAAAAGGGAGAACACCTTTCTGCCTGTCAATATACTCTATAAAAAACTCAAATGGCCTATTTTAGCTTCACATTCTTAAAATCACATTTTGCATTTTTGCATTTATTAACATGTCAATCAAAAACTAGATAATCATTAGTTGCAGCCTTAAGACACGTTAAATGTTTGGAATTTTATTGAAAACCTTTCTGAGGAAGTTGGTCCTAGAAGTCAATGGAGAAAAAAAAAACTAGCCGGGGTAGAAAATCATGAACAGGGTTTCTGTACATCATAGGAATCTTGACTAGTCCTGTTAAAAGCATTTCCCAACATGAAAACAAAAGATCTTACTCTCCTCCATTTTCATTTATAGACAATGAAATGATGATCCAGCCTCATAAGGTGTCGTTAGGAAATAAAACATTACAACCGGATCTATTTTTAACCTGTGTAATTTAAGATGATACTGTAAAACCTAAACTGTGACAAAATGTTATTAATTTATTAAAATATTTGTAGAATTTGCTAAAGAAGCAATATGGAGAAACCTGATATCTGCAGTAAAATGTATGATGATATTAAAAATCAATGATCAACAGAAAGTGGACACTAATCATACCCCCTCCAAAGCATGATTAGATTTTTACTTGTTTTTATTCAGATTACAATGAGTGAAGCTGCAGAGGTTTGAGGACTTCACTGAAATATATAACATTTTCTCGTGATGTTCTTTAAAATAGCCGAAAGAAGTTGGTTTAGCAGAGTCTGCAGGATTCATTTAGTTGATTTTTTAACCATGTTTGACCAGAAGCATTTACATAAAGTCATACTTGTCTACTGCCCATGTCCTCACTAAGACAAAGAAAGTAGAGCACATCACCCCAGTTCTAAAGTCCTTACACTGGCTCCCTGTACCTCAGAGAATAGACTTTAAAACACTTCTGTTAGTCTATAAATCTCTGAATGGCTTAGCACCTAAATACATCACCGACTTGCTATCAGTGTATCAACCTTCCAGACCACTCAGGCAGGGGCAGGTTTAGGAAATTTGGGGCCCTAGGCAAAGACAGGCAGGGGGCCCTCTGAATTAAGAAGACAAAACATAAAACAGACCCATTATACAGATACAGAAATTGTAATATAATAGACATACATTATTTGTTCTACATTTTGTCCCTTTTCTTGTTTTCCTCTGTTTTGTACTCAGCTGACTTTTTATGTCGTTTCAAAAGGAAAGAAACTAAGCTTGCTTAACCGATTGTTTCTTACTGTGTTTCCAAAAAGGTGACAGCAAAAGTAAATAACCCAGTCCTTCTTTCCACTGTAGACAAGCTATGATCTGCTAATCTGTTTTCCATTTTTCATTTGTAAGAAATAATAGCTGCATGAATCATGACAGCGGACAAGATAGAGTAGAGCAGGAGGCAGGGTTACCAATCTACTTGCTCTGGAGAGCAGAGTTCACTGCTTTTATATGTTGTCACCAAAGCTTTTTTGAAATAAAAGCGCTAGAGGGGTCTGAAATACACCTGTGCCTGAGACACACTTAATATTATAAGCATTCTGATGGCATTTTTAATGAAGGGTTTTTTATTAAAAACATACTTAATGTGCACAAATAAGTAATAGCTGTATGGAAAAGGAGTCTTATGGGGCCCCCAGGAACTTGGGACCCTAGGCAACTGCCTAGTTTTGCCTAATGGTAAATCCGCCCCTGCACTCAGGTCTTCGGGCTCCAGCCTGCTCTGCATACCTAGAACCAGAACTAAACATGGAGAAGCAGCATTTAGTTCCTATGCTCCACTTATCTGGAACGAACTTCCAGAAAACTGTGAGAGTGTGGAAAGCCTGAGTTCCTTTTAATCAAGACTAAAAACACATTTGTTTAGTATTGCCTTCGACTGTCCTAGTTAAATAGTTCAACTGAAACATCATTAGTTCAACTTTTTTTTATTTTCTTTAGTTCAACTGTTTTTATTGTTCATTTTTGTTGTTGTGCTTATGTTTTAAAAAAAAAGAGAAGTTGGATCAAAATGTGTCATTGAAAAAAAAAAAACAAACAAAACAACAAAGAAAAACAGACATTGTTGGTTTCAAGGTGGAAAACTACAAGAATGTAGCAGTGAAGATCAGTCATTTTTTTTTTGTAACCTCCTTACATGAGCTGTGCTTGTCCATACTTCTGGATGTAAAAGCACAAGATCAGCACTTCATCCCCTTCAAATATTTCAAAAACACAGGCTTATGTACTATTCTTTGATTCTCCTTTAAACAGACAGATAGATGTTAACGCAGATATATATCTTAAGATCATAATTAAATAATACTATTTTACGTCAGACCAATGGCGTAACGACACAAGCAACATTATCTGGGTGGGCACCATATGAAGTTCAACATCCCATCCTCTACCTTAACGGTTATGGTTTTAATCGACGCTCTGGATTACCCATAATTCCAAGCTGTAGCTGTAGTTGTAAAAAACAAATACAACCTTCTTTTAAGATCTTTACTGCGATTTGAGACATATATGAGTGTATTTTTTTTTACCAATCGTCTAATGAACGATACACAGTTATCAACATAGTTATTAAAAGTACCACTGTCTGCTTTGCCATTGATGTCAAGTTTAAACGGCTCACCATAATGCTGAAATCTGCCATTTGTTGGGGTATAAATACGGTCCGTTCGGTCATTACTGTATCAGCTGGATATTAGAGGATTTTTTTTCGCACCATTATGGTCCTGGTCCACCATTGCGTAAGGGGCCAACCAGGTGTCAGTGACGGGGCCCCCTAAGCAACTGCAGTCTCTGATAGTTACGCCGTTGCGTCTGACTAACTATGCCATTCATAAAAAAAGAAAACAACGGGAATGCCGTGGAAAAAACCCTAGCAGACCTGCATGCTTCTTGCAGGCTGCCGTGCTGTGAGGCTGGGAAACAGGCTGAGCAGGACTCATTAGTAGGTAGAAACACGCAGAGTGGACAGGATGAGAGGAGGCTCGACCAGCATGTGTCCCGTCAGGTTTGATGAGAGGCGGCTGTGGTTTTCAGCCCACCGGATTACATGTGCAACAAAGCTGGATCAACTGGTTGTCTGACACTTTGCTTAATAATCTACGGAGGGAAACTAATATTTACTTGAAATGTATGCAGAAAGATTAACATAAAAACTATTATTTACAGCTTAATGTTTTGGTTTGTTTGACGCATCACATTATGTAGAAATTGAAGAGCTTAAAGAGCCGACTTTCATTAAACATCAAAGAAAAGTTGCAATTGTCGCGATGCTTATGCAACACAAAAAACAAAAAAAAACAAAAAAAAAAAAAAAAACATTTGAATGCAAAAATTGAAGAATCAATATATTTTTTAAACAGCATATTCAGAGGAACCGAATCATTCATTTGGTTTTTTACCCGAAACATGTCAGATTTTCCAGGATAATGAAAAAATATATCTACATACTTACCTGTGTTCTCGAGTGTCTATGCAGGAATCGCAGCTGCAGTCTCTGGAGGAACTGGGAATAAACTGGAAATCGCCACAAAGTTTGTTTTTACTCCTCTGAAACCTGATTTGGTTTTTTCCACCTGGACTTCCGGGAAAGTCAGGACGGATTGCTGTCGACCGCCACCTGCTGGATGGGATTGATATTACAACCATCCTGCACCTCCTCCCATTGGACATTTGGCAATTAATTAACCTGGTACAAAGTCTTTCTGTGACTCTCAAAGGGAGCAGAGTCCTTTACTCTTTAACGAACAACAAACAAACTAAAAAGAAGATTAATGCAGCCAATAGAAAAGTGAATATGATGAAAAAATAAATATATAACTGTATACAAACAAAATATACTGTTAGCGAAATCCTCAAAATGATAAAGTGGAACAATTTTTACATTTACTACACTTGAGTATTACAGCATATGTGTTTCACTTCTATAATCCTTCAAAATATGTGTTTAATACAGTGTCCTTTCCCTGATCTTATTGGCCTGTTAAAATATCAGAAAAGAAATCAAAAGCTATTGATCTGCACAGACCTAATGTTTGTTCTAATAATAAACTATTTTAAAAAAAAAGAAAACTTTTACATTAATATTCATGGTTGATTGCTAAATTCAAAATTAACAGATGGCACAAATTATATAATTAAACCCTTCACATTGAAAATAATAGTAGATTTTGTGCCCTTGAAAACAGGAGAACCTTTTTTTCTTATGTAAGAGAATTTAAAAGAAGAACTCAACCCCATCAAAGTCGAGCCTGATCACAGCATAGCAGGGTTACGTCTGTGTGATGTTAAGTGGTAAGTCAGTGGAAAGTGGAAAGATAGACCAACAGAGACTACGTGATGCAAGACAAAGTCTTAGGCCTGATTTACCTAAACATCTGTTTTTGTTCTTTTTATAATCCATAGTTCTTTGTGTTGCACTGAGGGAGATACTAGCCCACAGCTTCCCACTAACTTCACCAGAAACAGTTGGGGATTTTTAATGGACAATATCCATATTCTCAACTCTTTTATTCCACCTGCAAATGTATATTTTTTATGTAATTTAAGGGAAGATAAACTGATTATTATTATTATTTTTTTTTTTTTTGCAGTTTGGCATTTATTACCATAAAGCCTAACCGCAACAAAGGAAAAGGAAGCAAACAAATTTTCTACTTTTTGACCAAAAACATAATTTTTGTCAGTTCATTGTCATTTAGTTTTCACAGCAGGGTCAGACTTGAATAGTGTTTTCATAGTAGGCAGGAGTCTGCCTCCCAACAAACTGGTCCTGGGATCAAATGGTAAAACTTACCAATTTACTTTATTCATATAAAACTCATTCATAACCTGTTTTATATCAAGATACTTTGCGAAAAATGTAATTTCAGTTGGATTGAGACAAATTCCAAGTCAAGTATATCCATTCTTAGATATCCCATATCAAACATTGCAGGCAAGTTTAGTTTATTATTTAAATTAATTAAGAAAAACCCTCTGTCTAAGGAAAAAAGATTACATTCAGTCATTGATTTGCAGCTTTCCCTCCTCTAGGATGACTTTATCTACAGCATTCAGCCACATAAATTGTGTGGCTGATTTCTAATAATGACCATGCATATGATGACAGTAGAAAGGAAAACTTACTTTTAATTGGAAAAAAAACTTTCACAGAACCAGGCTTAAGATAGGCAGCCATGTGCCACCACCAAATTGGGGTTTGGGATGACAGAGAATACACACACAACTAATACACAAGAAAATTCGAACAAACATAAAAAAACACCCATTCAAGAGTATTTTGTATGTCAAAAAAGTTAAAAGTTAAGCATTTTAATTTTACCTGTATAAAGGATAAGATCCATTGGTGCAAAAGGTAAAAATAGTGTAGAAAAGTAGATTTTTAGGATAAAAAAGAAGAAAGAAAAATCTATTTTCTATTTAATCAAATCAAAGTGTTTTGAACTTATTTAATATTTAAAAGGATGAAGACCACAGCTCACATGTAGAATTACATCCCACTTGTTGTCAGTGTCAAGCATAACAGTATTGAGCTTTGTGATGAAATCCAATAAAGCTCCTGGTTTTTATTAAGGTCGATCTATGATTAACAAACACTACATTCCCACCGAATTATCAATCACCCGTATTATCAATAATACCTGGCTGTAATGCAAGGACAAACTCCAAAATCACTGCACTGCTTGAACCAGCGGGCATTACCCTCACAATAAACTCCACAATTACATAATTTAATAATCATGCCAACATAATACATGTTTAGTAATAGCACATTTTTTGGCTGTTAAAAAATGATGTTAAAGTTCACGCATGACCATATCTAGTCTGATTAAAAACAATAATTCATTCCTTATAAAACCGGCTGATACGCAGAGATTTTGGGTGTCTTTATCATCTGTACTTGGTTTAATACATTATATAATTAATCGTTTCAAATCGACATAAAAATAAAGTACAGCGTGAAAGCTACAGAACATTAATCTTTTTTTTTAATCGTTTTATACATCAAATTATGTTTAAGGCGTATATGTGAAAAGAACAACCAAGGATGAGATTTAAGAGGAACAGGATGGTTACGTAAGCTAGATGCTCTCGATCTGATGTGTAATTGAAATTTAGATGGACTACAATGTCCATATTTGATTCACTGATTTAAATTAGCAGGAAATGGTATTTTGTTTGTCAAACATCACCAATCCACAAGCTAATTAAAACAGAAAATATATATATATATACGGAGCTGGTCATCACTGTTAAGGTTTGAGTGATTTTCCGTATTAAAATCATTTTTAAATAAAAGTTTCAATAAGCAGTTTTTTTCTCTGGAAGGCACTAGAAATTCCCCGTAAGGTTTGCTAATATAGTATTAGAATGGCCTCCCGGTCATTACTCCCACTTTACAGTCTTCCTTGATAAGGAAGAAACATGATTTTATGAAAGAAAAAATATAAAAAAAATTTAGTTTTGTGTTTTTTTCTGTGATCAACAGAGTAATGCTTTGGTCTAATTTAGTTTTCTTAAATTATAAATGAATCCTGGTTTTAAAAAAAATCCTTTAAACATGCAGACTGGTTGAAATAATTGTTCACATGACCCTTATCAGTCTAATTGAAGTCAAGATAATGGGAAACTTGGAGGCATAGGTCAACCTGGTAATAGGATATAAATTCTTTACAGGCGCCTCATTGTTGCTCATGGATTAGGAGAGACAACCAGGTACGGTACATTTCTATTTTCCCTTTCTTCTTACAGTAGTTGATTGGCTTGATAAGCAACACCTGGTAAAGTGAATTTCTTCTAAAATAAATAAACAAATGATACTGTTTGGAAGCTATGTAGAGTAGGCCGTTTCTAATGCATATAACCTGAGCTAGGATATATTTTTCATGTAATAGATTTAAAAAAACTGAGCATGATAATTTCTTTTAAACAAACATTGTATTTCATTGAAATCTAATATTTGTCTACTAATCTTTTTAAGTTAACTAAGAGCTGCGGGGGACTGTGTCGCAAACATGAAGACATCTAAAAAAAAGTCTTTGTTTGGTAAAAATGATAAAGGCAAGTGTGCCTCTTTAAATGAGAATAAGATGAATTGAATTGAATTTAGCTTTATGACCTGAGAGATAACTCGAAATATTATCTTTTTTCCTTAGGAGACACTAAGAGCGGGTATGTTTTTGATTAAAGATAATATCATCCTTAAACTTAAAAAATTTAAAAGCAATGCTTTCATTACATATATATATATATATATAAACATTGTTTTGTTTTTTCAGAGATGATGAAAAGAAAAAAGAAAACTCTCTTGGCGTTGGATACTTTGAGCTGGTAAATATTTATTTTGTTATTTTTTCAACAAAGAACTTTTCAGACTTTTCATATCGATCTTTTAGTCCTTAAACTCATGAGTTTTATAAATAAAAAAATTTATATTTTATGTTATAAAGAAATATTTTTTTTTCTGCTCTAAAATGGTAATAACTTTTCTACTTTGTAAAAAAAAAAAAAAAAAATTATGTAAAATTATTTTCACTTCAACTTAACCAAACAACAGTAATGACCAATAATCAGTAATGATTTCTCAGTATGCACGAAAAGATGCAAATAATAATTATTAAAAAAAAAGTCAGGTTGCATAATCTCATTTTTTTATGAGGTCATGTTATTATTTAATTATCTAGTTATGTTAGGGTGAAGGACACACATGGTACTTTGGCTTTTTTCCCAATGTCTGCCCTCAGATATGAGAGTGTGCATGCATTATTGTCTGTGCATTGTGTGTCTGTGAGAGAACATTGATCTCTAGCAATAGGCACTAGCTCACCCACGACAATGATGGGTGCAGACATCATATGGATCATCTCCCTTCATCCCAACAACATCAGATAAATGCTTTGTCAGCTTTAGCAAGGATGGGTTATAGCTCCATACTTTAAGACTTTGAGTCAGACTGTTGCGCAATAGAAAGCCCGGTTCCTGCATGCTCCAGCTTATTACAGCATCCTTCAGTTTATGAGCTTTGCTGAGTCTTGGGTAATTTCTGAGAATTATAATAAATCAATCATTCAATCTTTATTTGTATAGCACTATTACTCATCAAAAAGTGACCAAAGGGCTTCTCAGGTAAAATAAGATAATAACATGGATAGAAAAAAAGGCATTAAAATACCAGTGCAGTAATGATAAGTAAAATGATAAAATAAAAAAAAGAAAAGAAAAATGCCAGACACCAGAAGAAAATACTATTTTTTTTTTTCTTGAAATCCAAAATCAGTAACAAAATAATCCTAAAGCTACCCTGAATTAAAAGACAATAAAATATTAAAGTATTTAAAAGTGATTTAAACAAATCCAAGCTTTTAATGGACCTTTTTCCCTTGGTGTTGGAGCCGCAGCTGAGAAAAATCCATCTTCTTTAGTTGAGTGCTGAGAGAACCATGTTTAATTAAATATATTCTATGTGGTAAAACTAGACTATTTAAAGATTTGAAAAAATAATCATATTTTAAAAACAATTCATAAAGAAAAGCCAAAGAAACGGTCAATGTAGATCATATAAAGTAGTGGTGATATACTGAGATCGTCTTAACTTTGCAAATGTAGAGGAGCATTTTGGACAAGATGAAGGTATCAAAAAGGGGTTAAGCTGATCCCCTAAAGAAGGTTTATATAATTTTATTTGTCCAGACAGATGGTCATAAAATCACGAAGGACAATCTGAGGAAGTTATGTAATATTGTTAGTCAACCTCAAATAATAAAATAATAAAATCTAAGCTAAACTAATAAGTCAAACATTACCCCTTGATTTCTTAAAGATACACAACAAATGAAACCTTTAGCATTGGTTAATCTTGTTTTCTGTTAAGACACAGAGCATTCAGCTTCATCCACAGTTTAACATCCCTTAAACAGTTTAGTAGATGTTTAACCAAATGTTCAAACTGATTTAAAACTGCAGCAGATTCAGGGGTATGTAGAAGTGCAATAACTGGGGAGGTATAGTAGGCTGCTGACTTGACAGCACATACTTTGTCATTAAATGTATTTAATGACAAAGTACAAAATGAAACAGAAAGGAGCACGGCGGGTTAAACCACAAGAATTAGGGAGCGACTAAACTGGTTTAAAAATAACTTGAGACTTGTTGCTGTTTTCAGATACAATTTCAGAAATCAACCAGGCTTCTGCATTTTAGGCAGTGACTTGATACTCTTAAAGGAAGCACCAGTAAACTGAGAGACTGTTGCTGCAAGATGCAGGAATTATTTTTGTACGTTGCGTTTGCAAGAGATGTAACATTAATAAAGGCCAAGCAGATCATAATTTCATTTCCTTCATCTAGGGAGGGGCGGCTTGGATCAGATGGGTAAAATTTTGTGCAGTTTGGTGTTCCAAGAGAACAACTATCCAAATCATGCTTGAAAATACATTCATACTACCGTAATCATATTTACTGCATATTCAAGAGACATTTTGTAAGTTTTTACTGAAAAATATTTTTTTAAAAGCCCCTTTATTGGACCCTTTAAGACTAAAGACCGTTGACCGTAAAGGACCTAATAATGACATTTAATTCATAGGAATGGATTGAAAACTTTCTTGGTTAATACTCAGTGCTAAACTACATTTACTTGCTCGGAATGACAAATTAATTTATGGATGCTGCTTTAATATTTGATTATAACATCCAAAAATGATGATGTACAAACAAAAACTTAAAATTAAATTTAATTTAAAATGTCATTATTACAGGAGAATAATGATTAAAGGGCCTTTTATGCAGAAACTTCAGCCTATTAAAATGTATGAAAATGTATAGTAAAGAATGTGCACTCATCTGCAGTATTTGATCAGAGTCTTCTTACATAAATGTGCCATTGAGGAAACTTTTACTGTAGGTAATCAGCGTGTGATTCTGCAAAATTCCTTAAGAAGATCAGCTCACTTTTATAAATGTCTAATTGCTCACATTCATTGTTGGTGCTGCTGTCTTTCACTTTAGCACTAGATAGAATATGCATTGGTTTTAGCACCTAAACATTGTTGCCCAATCAAGCAGCTGGTCTTTGACCTGGGTACTGGTAGCTTTGGCAGTATGGACAGGAGCTAAGTGCTGCTGGGAAATAAGCATCTCTATAAAGTAGTCAAGAGAGGGGAACAATCTAGTCCCTTTTCTCCCTTTCCCAGGTAAAATGCGCTAATGTTGTCACTGGTTCAGCAAGATCCCAAAAATGTCCTCAAAAGTTTTAAATTACCTTTTCTTCACCATCCTTTCAAGGATTGGATACAGAACTCGTCCAATAACCATCCTTTTTGGAAATAAACTTTTGTAGTTTATCCTCCTTGTGGAGAACATTAGAGTGTGTCTGCTGCACAGCTTGTCTGTAAAATGGTTTTATTGATAGTTGTATATCCTTCTTTAGTTTTCTGAAAATCATGGACTGTTGGCAAGTTGAAATGTAGTGAGAGTTTAACTTCTACAAATCTGTTCTCTGTGTTTTCCGGTTAAAAAATAGACAGGCAAACATGATTTTGTGGTAAAAGAGGCTCGCTTTCGAAGTTTAAGGTTTTTAATAATTTTTTTGATCCATGATCAAATAAAAAAAGGTTTATGTATGGTTTTTTTTTTCTTTTTTTAATAAACCTGTCCAGTACATTAACCCCACTCTTTCCTCTACTTAAAGTTTCGATTTGCCACCTGGAAAGACAAACTGATGATGGTGGTGGGCAGCTTGTGTGCCCTGGTCCATGGCTCAGCTTCACCTCTCATGCTTTTGGTTTACGGCATGATGACCGATATCTTTGTTGCTTATGAGCGAGAAATCCAAGAGCTCAAAGACCCAGAGAAGGTGTGCTCTAACAGCACCATCCATTGGTCCAACGGCTCCATATTTGAAACAGATGATAATACCACACTTTCCTGTGGGTAAGTCAAGAGTGCACTATTGAGGCGATCCAATGCAGATTGTTGTGTTCACCTCTCTGTCTTTGCAGGGTGAATATTGAATCAGAGATGACCATGTTTGCATATTACTACATCGGCATCGGATTAGGCGTCCTGGTTCTTAGTTATTTTCAGGTTAGTACAGACATTCACTGCAAAAATGAGCTAGAAATAAGTAAAAATTTCTTAATTAAGTGTATTTACCCTTAATTTCAGTAGGTAAACAAGATGATCTGCCAATTAAATTAGTATTTTTACTCTTAAAATAAGATAATTAGATAATATGCACTTGAAATAAGACAATGCAATTGTTTTTTCTTATTTTAAATGTAAATTGTCTTGTTCCAATGGAAAGATGTCTCTTTAACCTCCTCAATTCAAGACAAAATCCACTTATTTTAAGAGAAAATGACTTATGAAGATTGGATTTTTTTTGCAGTGTTGTGCTTTAACTTGAACATTTTTATGATCGGTTTTGGATCATAGCTGAAACACATAGTGAAATAAATAACTTGTTTTCATGGTGCAGATTTTCCTCTGGGTGTCAGCAGCCGCAGGACAAACTCAGAAAATCAGAAAAACTTATTTCAGGAAAGTTATGCAGATGGAGATGGGATGGTTTGACTGCAACTCAGTAGGGGAACTGAATACAAGGATTTCTGAGTAAGTCGGCGAATCAAAGAATCTGACTCTTGCAGAACAATAGGTACATTTTGTATTTACTAATATGCCCTGTCCCTTCCCAGTGATATAAACAAGATCAACAATGCTATTGCCGATCAGGTATCTATTTTCATTGAGAGGGTCTCGACGTTTGTGTTTGGTTTCCTTGTTGGATTCATCGGCGGTTGGAAGCTTACCTTGGTTGTCATAGCAGTCAGCCCTCTGATTGGCATAGCTGCTGGACTTATGGCCATGGTAATGAAGTGACAACTTAAAAATACATGAATTAAACAATAACTATTAAATGTTTCTAAGAGTTTATCTTATTTTGCTTTAAGGCTGTGGCCCGACTAACAGGACGCGAGCTTAAGGCCTATGCAAAAGCAGGAGCAGTGGCAGATGAGGTCCTGTCATCCATCCGGACGGTTGCTGCTTTTGGAGGCGAGGAAAAGGAAGCAGAAAGGTAATTTTTCTCCAAAGCTGTAATTAAATAAAACAATTATTCTCTCGGTTTAACCAAACGTATGAATTTATGCGTTTCTTTAGTTAAGAGGTTTGTTTTGTTGCTGTTAGGCTGAAAAGGAAAATATTGATTAGCGAATTGCTTCGTGACAGGTATGACAGAAACCTTGTCGAAGCTCAGAACTGGGGAGTTAAGAAGGGCTCAATCATAGGAGTGTTTCAAGGATACCTGTGGTGCATCATCTTCCTGTGTTACGCCTTGGCTTTTTGGTACGGCTCTAAACTGGTCATTGACACCAAAGAGCTGACACCGGGGAGCCTTATTCAGGTAAACGAGGAAATGAAATTAAGAACAACATATATTTCAAGTTAAATGTTTAGTGGGAGGTCTAATAAGAATCTAAAAAAAATCCAATATGAACAATTTATTAGAAATAAAACTCTGGGTATCTGAATTAAGGTTGCTTTTTTGAGCATGGTTTATATATAAATAATGCTTGCCCTTCATCCATTCATTCATTTGTTATGTTTTGTTATTCATTTGTATATTTATCGATCTTGTTCAGTCATTCATTTATTTTATTTTTGAAAATGAATGAGTAATTTAGCATAAATTTTTAAAAAGTTTAACGTGTTTAGAATGTATCATAGCAATAGAAGCAGCCTTGTTGAAGGTCTGTTTTATTACATAATAAAAACACAACTATTTTTCAAGAATTGCTTGCATTAACATAGAATTAGCCTCAAACAATTTGTTTGAAATAAACTAGTCAATACATTTGGAAAAAGAAGTAAGGGCCTATTTAAACAATTATAGTAATTAAATGTATTTTTGTCAGTTACATTTTTTAAGACTTTATTAATTGATGTCTCCCAAAATACCCCAGAGTGCAAAATAGTCCACCATATAAAAAAAAAGAGAGATGTGTCTGAAAGTAAAGATATTTAAGCTTCATGTCCATTAGCGTACGTCTGCTTAAACGTTTGCCTTCCTCTTCTTTATCTTAGGTTTTTTTTGGAGTGCTGATGGCAGCTATGAACCTCGGCCAGGCCTCACCGTGTCTGGAGGCCTTCGCTTCTGGTCGAGCAGCAGCGAAAACGATTTTTGAAACAATTGATCGGGTAATGTCATAAGTCCTGGGAGGGGTGAAACAAGTTTCAACAAAGATGAAGTGGAATGGTATAAAATTCAAAGTTTACTTTGTATCTTTTACAGGAACCGGAAATAAATTGTTTCTCAGAAGAAGGACATAAATTAGACAAAGTAAAAGGTGACATTGAGTTTCACAATGTCAGCTTCTTCTATCCATCTCGACCTGACGTTAAGGTAACTCAACTCATCTGACATTGATTATGCTCTTAAACTGGTCTTTACTAAACTCATTAAATCATTTTTTTCAGATTTTACATAACCTGAGCATTCAGGTTAAAGCAGGTGAAACGACTGCTTTTGTTGGACCGAGCGGATCTGGGAAAAGCACCACAATCCAACTCATTCAAAGATTTTATGATCCAAAGGAAGGAACGGTAATTATCTAAGTACATTCAGAGATAAAACACATAAAGCTAAACATATGACTTCTTCTTAATGATTTTTTACGCTAACTCCCGTTTCCCAGGTGACTCTGGATGGCCATGACATCCGCTCATTAAACATCCAGTGGCTCCGCTCGCTCATTGGCATTGTGGAGCAGGAACCAGTGCTGTTTGCTACAACTATTGCGGAAAATATACGTTATGGTCGGCCGGGAGTAACCATGGAGGAAATCATCCAAGCAGCAAAAGAAGCCAACGCTTATAACTTTATTATGACTCTCCCGCAGGTACATTTATACACTAGGAAAAAATGCTGCAATCTTGTTGATTTTGGACTTTTATCTATTGAAAATAATAATATTGTTTCATCTAATCTCACAGACGTTTGACACTCTGGTGGGTGAAGGTGGAGGCCAGATGAGTGGAGGACAGAAGCAAAGGATTGCAATTGCTCGAGCTCTTATCAGAAACCCTAAAATCCTGCTGCTGGACATGGCCACATCAGCCTTGGATAACGAGAGCGAAGCTGTAGTCCAAGAAGCTCTAGATAATGTTAGACTCACAAACAAAGTTTAAAGGAAGCCTACTTTATGACTTGATCTGTGGAATAACATTTAAGTTTCCTTGTAGGTACGAACAGGAAGGACAACGATCTCCATAGCCCATCGTCTTTCCACAATCAGAAATGCAGATGTGATCGTTGGATTTGAGCATGGACAAGCTGTGGAGAGAGGAACACACAGCGACTTACTGGAAAAACAAGGCGTCTACTTCACTCTTGTGACCCTGCAGAACCAAGGTTCATCCAACCCAGCTAGTGGTAAGTTTTTTTTTTTGGAAGAAAGCTGCACATAATGTTTAAAAGTAGTCAAAGATTTTACTTTTTGAGCAGTAAAATGCCTCAAAATTGTGTAAAACTGTAGGGGAGATTAAGGTTTCTTGAAAAAAATACAAATATCCCTCAATGTTACGCAGTGGGAGAAAATCAGATATGGTTTCAATTGCTTATAGGCAAAATAAAAACATGCAGGCACACTCAGGACTCAGAGAACATAAAAGTACAAATAGGCAGTAAAAAAAAAGGGAAAATAGCATGTCAAAAAAGAAAAACTGTGTAATTACAAAGAATAACACACTGAGATGAAGTGAGAAAATGGAACAGCTGTGCAAAAAAATGTATTTATGTAAAAAAAAACACATACTGATTAGATAACTACTGCACAACAATTGTTATGTGTTCAAAATACATAGCTTAATCAGATAAAAAGAAAAACTGTGATTATCTGAGAGGATAAAAGGTGTCAGTTTAGCCTTTTACCAGCCAGGGTTATATGATTACCCACACTAAAGTAAGCATATTGGACTGTTTATAACTGGATCAATCTCCATGTTTGGATTGTTTCAGATACATTTGACTGAGGAGATCTGATTTGGGACTAATTTACTGTATATGAATTGAACCCAATTGTCTTTTTAAGTACCTTTAGCTGTAATTAGGGCTGTACCAGCTCAATAAATGTGGACTAAATTAATTCCAGTTAAATAAATAGGACTTTAAAAGCACTGTGGGAGTAAACGGCAGCCGGCACAGGACTGAAATGATGGTAACTAATCGTTTCAGCGCAACGGACAGAACAAAAGAGTCAAAGCCGAAACAAACAAGCTAGAATACAATGTTTGTTTAGAATCAGTTGCATAACCTGTCATGGTCTGTGGATTATGACAAGTCATGCTACATGTCTGGTTTTCTTTCTACTTCTTTTGCTTAAATTTTATATTGGATGTTTGCAGTTGAGAAAACTGATAAGAAGTAATCAGTCTTTAAATCTGGGAATTAAACTGATAGTTTTGCTTATGAAAAATAGTTTAAAAAGTTATCCACAAAATAAACTTTATGGTTGTATTGGACTCATTGTTAATACAAACATACTGCTTGTAAAATGCAGGCTCGGCATTACACACACTGATAATAAAACAACCAGCAGATAAGCCTAAACACACCCTACCGCCCCACCTCATGCTGAGTTGGCTTTTTTTTGTCTGTTCTAACTCTCCCAACCTAAACATCATCAGAGAACTATGGCCGGACCCTGAAGTAGCTGCACGTGTGAGAAAGGCAAAGAATCTCACAGAACTAGATGCACTCTGTACAGAGGGTAAACAAACCACAATGAAAAAACACAGCTGGCACAGCTGACTGTGTTGACTGAGGGAATTTGTTGCATTACTTTTGCCTTAAGCTCATTTGCTTTGTTTTCTGTCTGGATGTGTACAACAGGAAATAATAAATCATCTCTTCGATGGTATATAAAAATGTCAATCTGGACAGAAACTGAGAATGGGGAGTATTCCGCAAACTTTATCCAAGTGTTGCCTCTTTTTTTTTTTTTCAAAGACAAGAATAGGAGTATCAGACTAAAATCTTCCACTCGGTAGACATACCATTCATCCTTTAGGTTTAAGTGACTGGAAACTTTCAGACTTCTATTGAGGCTACTTTGATTATTCCAGGTCTAGATGTGATCAATGAGTCGACTGATGATGGATACGAAAACATAGTGGAGACTTTTAGACGTGGAAGTTACAGATCCAGCAAAAGGTAAATTAATTTGATTGTAAACTTCAAATAACATAATGTGAAAAACAAATCGGCACTGATTTTAATACATTCTCAACCCTAAAGGAGCTCTGTACGTCTGCGATCTCAGAGCACACTATCAAATGACTTTGTCCCGGATGCAGTGTCAGGAAGCCTCAGGATCCCTATGGACCTTCAGGTCACACCAGAAAATGTGAGAAGTCAATCATTCATGTTTTGGAGCATGCTAAGTCTCTGGAAAGCCTTGCTTTTACACTGATCTTTTAACAGACACCTGAGGATGGCCCTGAAGAAAGCGAGGAGTCAGCTCCAGTTGCACGCATCCTGAAGTACAACCGACCAGAGTGGCCGTACATGCTTCTGGGATCAGTGGGAGCAGCAATCAATGGTGCTGTTAACCCTGTCTATGCAGTCCTGTTCAGCCAGATTCTCGGGGTAAGAACTCCTCCCGTGATGACTGTACAGTATGTTACAAGTGGTGTTGTGTTGCAAGTTGAGCTGGTTGGGTTAGTTACTCTGAATACAGTAGATTGTTTAGTAAATCTGTGTTTTTTTTAATTAGATTTCTTACTTGCATTTTTTTCAGACTTTTGCCATTCAGGACTTGGACAAGCAGCGCAAAGACATTAATGGCATCTGTGTGCTGTTTTGCATTGTGGCTGTGATAAGTTTCTTCTCACAATTTCTGCAGGTTATTTCTCTTTCTGTTCTTATATCATTGCTTATAAATGAACAGAAAACACAAACACACACACACACACACATATATATATATATATATATATATATATATATATATATATATAATATATATATATATATAATATATATATATACATTTTTCAGCTTATTTAAGTGGGACAATGCACCTCTGCAAGGTTTTGTTGAGGAATCAAAATCAGCTTTAATTGCAAAGTTTAAAATGAAATTCAGGAATTTCGTTTCTGCTCTACAAGGCTCACAAAAAAGAATATTGAAACAAAAATAGGAAGGAAAAAATGGAAAAGAACAGGGAAAAATGGAAGAATAAATATAATTGATATTTTTACTGTTTAGGTCACATCCCCACATTTACCAGTAAAAAAAAAAGCCTGGTTTTTTAACAAAAATTTGATATGTTGCCTTCACTTCCCTCAGATCTAATAAAAGAGCAGTAACTCGCCATGTTTCGTTGTGGGTAGGGTGCTCTTTCTGTGTTTTATTTAGTGTTATTTTCATGCTAAACACCCCCTCAGGAAGAGAGACCAAAAGTTTGCTTTAATCGTATTTTGTAAACATCCTGAAACAAGGTTTTGGAAGATTTTAGCCAGGCTTACATAGTTTGGTCACATGTGGAAAACAACAAGAACTTGATGAGAATTCTTGAAGTTTTTAGTGTTGCTGGGAGGCTATGGAAAACCCATTGACCAGTTTCAGTTTTTACTTTCCATTATTTTTGTCGTCCATGTAGTCATTTTTCTATTACGAATACTATTGACATTGTTTTTTATCTGTCAAAAATAGGTCTAATGTTTACCTTTTTTATGAAAAAAAAGTAAAAAAAAGTTTAAAGTATTATGAATGTAAAAAATATTTTGCTTAGGTAAAAGAAGAAAGTAGTTTCTTAGGTTTTTGGTTGAACGTTTGCTTTTCTACATTCACAAAATATTTGCAGTCTATTTTCACCGTTTAAAATATTTTTTGGTTAATTAAAATTTTGCTTGCAATAAAACATACAATAAATGTATAATTAAAAATCTTATTCTAAATAATAAAAAAAGTATTCAGAATGATTGTAAATGCAGCCAAGATCTGCTAAATTAGTCCAAAAAACCCCCAAAACACTCTAAAAGGTTATTACTGGATTTTCACTGAACCTGATGACAAATTCAGTACCTTAGACATTGTTTGGACCAATCATAACATCTCTCAAAACTACAGCAGAAGATAACCTTAGCAAGTATCAGGAAAATAAGGATCTGTTTTTCTTAATTGTTTTATCGCACTGATCAACTAAATCATAAGGTGATTTAGTAAAGTAGTAGTGCAAGAATGTATATTGGAAACCACATAATAAGCTCATTTCATTTTGAATATCTTATTTTAATTCCATCCATCCATCCATCCATCCATCCATCCATCCATCCATCCATC